ATTAAAACTACTAATATTTACAATATTTATATATTGTTAAAGGTATCTACAAGAGGCTCTATTGAATCTGAGCACATCACATCCGTTGACTAAGGATCACATTCCTGCCATTTTAAAAGAACTGTTAAAACAACTCAACAATTTCATCATGTCAAACTCTACGCACAAGTGCGCGAGAAACATGCGTATGCTTCAGATGATAACGCAATCTTTGCTTAAGTCGTAGTTTTTATTATCTAAATAAATTCAAGTTAAATTCTTAAACTTTTTTTACTAGTATGATTTTCTTAAACTTGTACGACTGACATTGTGTTAATACATGTATACATAAGAATATGTAATAGAAATATTTTCCATTCTTCATGATAGATTAAGAATTTATTTTTGATTTAAATAAATATATAAGTATTAAATGTTTCTTATTGCAATTACGGTAATTAGAAAAAAAAAAGAAAGTCGTTTTTAATATTTCAGATGCTATTGAATTATTAGCTGTACCTGACTAGTGAGTTTTATTTTTCTAATAATGACTCAATTTACTGTTGCTTTTTCCATAATAGCTCTCTAAAGAAAACGTTTACTCCACCAAATTATTTACCCTTGCATAAGTACAAAAAAGTATTGCATTCCAACGTAACAAGCGAGCATTTATGACAGTATCATTTGAATTATATACTTTTCCCATCCTTTTATTATAAATACCGAAAATATATACGACAATCTTCGATGTAACTTGAAAAGAAAAATACGATTTTGAAAAAATTAAAAGGAATGAGTGTAATAAAAAAAAATTTTCTACTTAAAATATTTATGTATCTTTCATTATTAGGTAATGTATATATATATAATGTATATTTGGTATCTGCTGTACATCGATAAATAGTAAGTAGTAAATAATGAAACAGTTTTTTTTCTTTGCAAAGAGGTTTCGTTACGAGTGTTATTGACATTGATCTAAGGCATAAACACAACCGTTTTTCTTTACTATTCCTTTCGTTCACTCTCTTAACTTCCTTCGCTCACTCTCTCGTTCATTTTCTTTTTCCCGTTTATTTTCTGCGTTTTTGTTTGTTTTCAAATAAATGCATCTACACAATATGTATATAAATAATACTAATTAATAATAATAGTAATAATAACAACAACAATGACATTATATTATTATTATGTAACACCACAGTATTGACGATGTTTTTGATGTGTATGTAAAGTGTAAGCGCGCACGCGCAAGTGTATTTTTTCTTTGTCTATATTAAGAACACGACTAATAGTTACATAACATGTTAATTAGCAGTGAATGATGACATGT